ACCTGCCTCACAAGATGAAGAGGATGGTGGGGAATGAGGAGAGAGCATGCAAGTGCCCTGTTGATCGAATGGACTGGTCTGTTATCAGATTTTGGCAAAAGCTTTGTTCCCCTGAGAATGTGCAACACTTTCTGTACTCATGCTGTTGAAAGATGTCACAATATATTTGAATTTTCTCCTAAACTGAGCGTTTCTTGAAGCTGAACAAATCAAACAACCACAATGTATATTGGTGATAAGGTTTGTCCTGTTTTTTTTCTTTTTTTATTCTTTTTATTATTAAAGTCAGTGACATTCTGCACTTTCTGTTATAGTTTTTTCCTTTTGTGTCATGAGAGAATATCAACATTAATGCAATCAGTGGTCTGCACTGTACAGACACTTAATGCAATTTTATGTCAGAGTTACAAGAATTGCTTTAAACAGCTTATTCAGGCTGCAAACAGCACAGGCAGGAAGGGCGTATAAAGGATAGTAGTATAAAGTATAACTCTGTCCAAACACACAGAACCCCACTGTGCTTGCAATATCAGTCACTCTGAAAGATCTGAGGTCACATACAGTAAGTTTGATTAGTAATTAGTTACACTACTCATATTACTTTTCTGCTACTCCCCCACAGGATTGGTAATTAATTTCCAGCTACTGAATGTAAGCGTTTCCATCTTCTAACATCTTCCAGGATGTGATTGGATTGTTTGGTTTCAAATCAGTAGGGGGTTACAACAAAACGATGTTTTTTTCGGAGAGATAACTGTAATATTATCACTGACATTTTATTAGTGATTAGTTAAACTAAAGTAATATTATTACTGTAATATCCCAGCAAAGATGTGTATGTTGGTATAAGATGGGCTGAAATATGGGCCCTATATATACAAAATACAGAACATTGCACATCTGCTTCTGTTGTTGCCAAATAATCTCTTACTTTTACATTAAGACCCGCACACATACTCTGGCCTTTCTGAATACAAGCAGTTAAAGACAACCACATTCAAATTTATTTCTGCATGACATTGAAAACTTTAGAGTCTGCATGTTCGCCGGTAGGTCAGAGTAAGTCATAACTTACAAGCATTACATTTACATATCTTAAATCCATGTTTGTGTATTCGGTCACAATTTAAGGATATGAGTGAGGATGTTTTTTCTTTTCTAAAAGGGAATACTGTGGACTCCAAAAGTCTGCATGTGACCAAGGTTTGCAGATTTATTCTTCCCTTATGAATTCCCTGAATGCAGGTTCCTGATTAAGTAATCCCTTGTTTTCAACACTTTCCTGTAGCAGTTGAGTCTAGATGCAGCATTTTGTAATTATTGCGTGCTTTTAGACTTGATGCAATATGAAGTACTACTAAAACAGGAAAAAGGACTGAATGATATGTGTCTTGACAGAGATTCCTATCTTGTTATTTATAACCACATTTCTTTGTTAGTGCAGAGTTCCCGTATATTTGGTTTCAGCTGGAAAATCCTGCTGTTTCATGATCTTTTAAAACAACTCCTTCATAATGGAAATACATAATGTTCTCTGCAGACTAATGGATTTAACTCTAATCATCGATGGCAGAACAAACATTTTAAGGCTAGTAGGGTTCTGTTAGATTTGAACCCTCCACATTGAGAGTATTATTAAAGAAAGTGACTTTCCATAACAAACATGGTTCTTCTAAGACCTAAAAACAACCCTTTCTGTTTTCTGTTGCCAGGTAATGCCATTAACATGTTCAACAATACAGGAAAAAAATTCAATTCAATTTAAATTAAATTTTGATGGTTCCTTTATGCTTAAAAACTAACATACAAACCAAATCAAAGCATTTTGAAAGGCTTTCAGATGTTTCTACACCTGCAGGAACGCCCCTCATCATCCTCTTGTAACACCTCCGTGTTTAAAAGGCGACTGTTCAGGTCAGGGCAGTCAGCAGTCGTCTCTCCACTCTGACAGCAGACAGCAGTAAACATCAGGATCCGCTTACCAGGTGAGGACTGCCACCCTTACCTTAAAGATACAATTGTTATTATTATTATTATTATTGTAGTTTTGTGTTTTCATTAGTTTTTGTTTTTGATCTTGTTATTAATTTTCAATTCCCTTTAGTTTCAGAGTGGTTTAGCTTGTTTCAGTTTAGATTTATTGTTTAAAATGTTGAGTTTAGTTTAGGTTTTATTAGTTTCAGTGTTAGATTTTTTTTTCACGATAATATGGGGGTATTTGTAAGGGGAAAGATACTACAATACAAACACACTGACTCATAGTCATTTAGTCTCATAAACAAAAAAAATCTGTCATATAAACACATGCACCAACATCTCCTTGTGGTTATTTGCAGTACACAATATGTTTTTTTTCTAAAGTCTAGTTTTTGTTTTTATTTCAGTTGTGAAATAAAAAATGTTTTTCACAACCTTTTTTTATAACTTTAATAACACTGATTGCAACTTTTTCAAATGTTGAAATGTTGTCGTAATTGCTTAAATGATCTAAACTGATGGGTAAGAAGCCTGAGAACCAGTTTCCAACTGCATAATACAAGAAATCTCACAAATACCTTGACAATGAATAATTAATTAATAATAAATTATAATACATTAAAATATAATAATAAACAAATGACTCTTTAAGAAGGAAATGTGTTTTACGAGGGTTTCAGTGAACAAAATAAACCAAATGGCATTAAGATCTGCCCTGATGTAGATAAGCTACAGAGGGGTTCCCCACACTCGTCATCTGAATAACTCTCCAGTCAACTTAGAGGAACTTTGTCATTCAGCTTCAGTGAATGAAGAAGGAAATAGGGAATTGAAGTGACAGCAAGTACGAGGGATAAAGGACTGCTGCAGGGTTTGCATGAATTCTTTTGAGCAATTAAATAATTGCTACAAACTCCTCAACCCCCGCCACACCCAATCGATCATATTACTTTCTCATGTTGCACGCACAAGTATTGCTCAAACCCACAGTACAGTACTTTAATTTCTGTTCTACGCTTGGGATGCCAAACTTGTTCTTGCTGACTGAGGGAAAAACACACAGCTATAGACTTTTTGATGTTGCAGGCAA